TCCACCGTACCGCCGAGCTTTACGTCAATTAGAATAAGGTTGGCACTTTCGGTACGAAGAGTAATTACTTTAATTAACAAAATGGAGGTAGGTATGTGCGACCTCCGCCTCCCTCTTGCGCCGACGTTGGCCGCCACCGATGTTGCCTCCCCGTGCCTTTCCAGCCCGCGAATATATACGCGTATACCGCGAATAGAGATTCGCGCGACCCTTTCCGCAAGGCAAGTACCAAATGTGCGATGCTCGCATGCACGGATTCATAAGCGCGTGGACGTTACTCCGGCTCATTGGACATAGTCGGAACACCCGGAATGGAACGTTTCATTTGCGGTCTGATTACGCAGTCTCTTTTGTTCTACTGCGATCTGGGCTGAGACGATTTGCTTAGAACTTGGAACGATCAGGGGTACGTACAAGTGGCGTTCAGTTTTGGAGTAAGCGATTTTGTGGTTCTCGATTCTTTGGTTATTTTGAAAATAAAAATTTCAGCCGAGAAGAAGTGAGAATATGTGGGAAAATTATTGAAAAAATGTAGTTATTTCAGATATTTAGTAGAGAAAGTTGAGAAAGCTTGTGAATGATACCAAAGAAATTTCTGAAATTCGAGAGAAAATTTTAACACGTTCTCTACCACGTTGCTTGTGTACGAGTGACAGCGAGGTTTTCTTTAGAACCGAGTTGCTCGTACTTTTTGCTCAATAGAGTAATTCTTTTAATTACAGATTATGGCATTAGTTTAGATAATGCATAGTGTACTCGTTGCTTCAACAAAAGGAAATAACTGCATTTTTGTTCGAACAAATAAAGAAAAGGAAAGAAAATTGTGTAATAAAAGATGCGACTCATTGTATATGAATGGCTCTTTCGGCTCATGTCACTCACTTTTCAAAAGGAGTCAAAAAATGAAAACGATCAAGAAGTGTTTCGATAAAAGAAAAGGAAGCTGTGACTAAAACTATAAAAGTGATTCAAAGAAAAAGAATGTTAAAAACAAGAAAAAGTTGGATCATTCTAAAACTTTGTATAGAAGACAGAGAACGTGTTAAGTATTGAAACAAATTATGTGCTTCCAACTTAAGACACTCCAGAAATGTAATTACAATGTTTCCACTAAACTTCGACGTTCACAATTTTACACTGTACTTATGCGTACCCCTTTAACACGTTAAGCGCCATGTCAGTCACCGGTGACTGACACTATACTTTCCGTTCAGGCCGCGTCAGTCACTGTTGACTGACGATATACAATTTAAAAAATTATATTATTCTATCAATAAATTTTAAACAATTTGGAGATCATAAAAGAATGTACCTAAATATTACTTGTTACAAAAAAAAATTTTAACGAGTATTATTAAAACACACGCAGTCTTATCGCAACCTTACACAGATCTCCGGCCGCCAGCATATCGCGGGCTAAACGGAAAGGAAGACAAGACAGGCTTGGCGCTTAACGTGTTAAGATCGTCATCCAATACATTCGTTTAAGAACAATAACATAGACTCGCGAGAACAAAAAGGGGAGGTTAAAGCACTAATCAGCAAGTACAGTTGATACTTGTTATTTCCAAAACGTCTCTAGAAATGTTGAGTTTTCCGATGAACCGGAAACGTCGCGTATATTCTCACGATCGCGGAATAATGTTTAAAGGGAAGTAAATGATCGAGTTCCTTACCTATCGTCTTTACCCGTGGGTTTATCGAGAGGTCCGACCGTGTGCTGTGGAGGTGGCATACTGTAGCAGGGTGTCGGCGTGTAGCCAGCTGGGATTTGGTAACCGGAAGTCACGGGACCACCGGGATAAGTTCCACCGCAATTGTAGCCTGCAGTGGGGTAAGGGGTGTACGTGTTCCCAGGATATTCCGGTTGAACGCCTGTCATTCCATAGCCTGGGTGCGGGCTCATTGGTCCGTAACCTGAGAATGCGAAATATGCGGAACGTAATTTTATTGCACATTTATAATAACGCATTGTAATATGTAGGTCTTCGTAAAATATAGTCAAATAAAAATGGACATACGATACAAAGGTACATATATTTGAATTTTATTCTATGATACATTAAATGAAACAGCTATTTTTGTTCGTTTGCGATATCACATTCTTGCGTTACTTTCAGTAACGACGGTATTAAATATTGTCGTGTTCGTATTTAACTTCGTATCAGTCTACCATTCTTTATTCACTTATGCAAATACCCCGTTCGTCGAAACTGTGAAACTGTTTTTCGACCTTGTCGAAATGTTCGTCGGACTGCCGGCTGAGGTATACAGTTTGTAACGAATATATGAATTATTTATGCTTAAAAATTACTGTCTGATTAATTTTTGATAATTCAGAAAATGTTATTAAGAAGAACTTGAATGCATCTCTTAATATTGATATTTTTTTGCATATTAACATTTATTGTTCATAATGCAACGCTACAAACAACATTGAGGTAAATCCAACGACAAATTTTCGAGTTCCTAACCTATGACGTGCTGATAAGCAATAAAAATGGCTGACACACGAGGAACGAATATTGGTTAGGTTATGTTAGGTTAGAAATGAATATTGGTTCCAATCAGTTTTAGTCGTGAATTAAGAAAATTTGAATTACTCAAAATTGATATACTACTGTTCAAAGTCACTTTAAGGTCATAATTTCACAGATCATCGAACTCGTCGAAAAAATGTCAGTGACCTTAGCGGGACCATTTTTCATCTTCACCAGATTCACGTCCTCGAACCATATACGTGCAAACTTCTCTCAATCATTTTTCCTCCCATTCAATAGCAACAAAAACAATTTCAACAGTTTCAAGATCAACATCAGTACTTCGGTCAAAACAGTGCCACAAAGAAACAACTTAAAACGTACCACCGAGACAATACGAACGTAAAGTGCATACAGAAAGCTATCCGATTTCACAACAAACCCCATAAGCTTCTATATCACGAAATACCGCGCAGTACCACGATAACGAACTTGATAAAGAATCCTCTTTTCCCTCCCCTTGAAAAATATACCACCCCGAAAAAGAAAAACAAGAAACGAGAGCAAGAAGCAACCGGAAGGTGGGGACAAAGGTTCAGCCGGTACGACAAAAAAAAAAAGAAGAAAAAAAAAACAAGAGGTCGAAAGCGACGCGTCGCTTGATTAACCGTTGTAAAATCTACGCGTTTATTTACCGGCAAGAATTCATTTCGTCTGCAGTGCAAATAGCCAACGGACGAGGAAGGGCGAAGCGAACGTCGCGCGAACACGACGACGTCGAACGAACGAATGAACCTGGCATGCCATACGCGGAGCTGTGTGCTCGAATGTTTCAATTTCAATAACTACTCCCCAGCGTCAGAGTCCGCACAATATTGGCCGCGCCGGACTTTTGCCATGCTACGTGTACGCGAAATATTGATAATTAACAATGGTCGTGTACCGCCACAGGGAGAGAGAGAAAGGTGGGTCCGGTAGAAAGGGTGCTGCTGCTGGTTTCGGTGCACATCCACGCGGCGAAAGAGGATAAGAGGGTGAGGAAACGGAAGGTGGGAGGAGAGGAAGGGATGGCCGGATGGGCGAGAGAAAGAGAACAGACGACAGGGACGAGTAGAATGGGCTGTAGGTTTGGAATGCCAAGGCACAGAGAGACCGAGGAAAATGAGAGTCGGGGCCATAGGTGCCTATTATGGCAGTCATGTACTGTTCTGGCGAATTTTTATTCGACGGTTGTAACCGCGTATCGCGCGCGCTCTCTCTCTTTCTCTCTCGTTCCGCTCCTCTCCCCAAACTAAACCCCCGGAGGGCGTTGAGCTCTTTGTTCTTTTCCGTATCCCTTCGTCCATGGATCTCCTCCCTATCAACCTGACGCTGGGTTACACGTGGCCGATGTAGCGACACGCCGACGCGTTCGCGTGTACCTTCAAGTATACGTGGGTTACGTTGAAATTTAGAACGTCAAGTAACCCGCGTTCTGTCCCACCACCACACCACCCCGCCCAAACCTAACCAATTTCGTTTCGTTCGAAGCGAGTTAGGTTGTCGAGGTAATTTGTTCCGATGTCTCTGGTTAGCGAGTGTTACAGTTTCCGTTGCTACGCGACGATGAATGGCGGACTTCGAGGTAGCAGCCTAATTGGATTTTCTTTTCATTCGATATACTGGTTACCGCCGCGCGGTGGATATTTCGACCGCGTTTGCCAACTTTCGGAACGGTGGGGATTTCGGGTGTTCTCGAATTTTGAATCGGTTCGAAGTTCGGTTCCGGCGAAAAATTGCTACCGTTTCGATTTTTTCCGGAATATTACGTTACAGACAGAAATGAGGATGGGAGGAAGATAGTTTGCACACGTCTTCGAGGCTGAATAGTAGCTTTCGATCGTTCCAATCCGACAATGCGCAGATGTTCTATCAATTTCACAAAGGGTTTAACCCCATTGACATACTATGTCAATTATGAACCTTAATTTTTCTAATAATTTCTTTCTACGAATCATGAAAATATTGGAATAATTTATACTATTTTTGCATTATGATCAGGAATAATTGGCACCAATATTACCGAGGAAAAATTTTTAGTGACCGAACGGGGAATCGAACCCGCGACCTCAGGTTGGCAAGTCGAGCCTTTGCGCGCTACGCCAACAACTCCTACTGTATTTTCCCTCGTCGGTTTCCTATTTACTCATGCTTAGATTCTTGTTACAAAGAATATTCGCGAATAACCGTACAAGCCTACTTTGCAGTGATTCCTACATACTTCAATTTTTATAAAATAAAAGAGAGTCGCTATGCAACCCTAATATATCGAAACTATTTCATGGTAGAATCCACTGGATTAAAAAAAAGTCTGAATACGAACGTTAACGACAGAAATCAGTTGAATGGAACAGTGTCGCGGGTCATAAAGCGTTTCCGCGAGATGGATGACGAATTATCTGGCAAGTTAAGCGATAAACAGCGATAGCTCACCAGTGGGATCGCGGTAGGCGTCCATGTAGTGGGAACCCCCACTGTCGGGGGTGCTTTCTCGACTGTAAGCCGTGACGTGCACACCGGGTGGCGGGAAGCCTGGCACAGGCCTGATTCCAGGCCCCCCGCTGAAATTGACCGGCTCGTTTGCCGTGGAGAAGTCCACGGGCTCGGTTTGCTCCTCGATTGGTCTGGGCGCTGGGAAACCAGGTCCAACGGGAACCGCCACAGCTTCTCCGTGGCCGGTTGGATACTGTGGACTTGGCGCGCCGCTGTAATCAGATGAAGATGATGGACGATTTAATATCTCTCCCTTCTTCGTTTCATTCCCGTTTCGTTAGGAGGGAAATATTCGTGGATTAAAGTGTTTCTAATCTTGCCTCGTGTATACAGGGCGAACACCGCGTAATGTAATTGCTTTAACCCTTTAACGTCATTTGGAACAGTGTCAAATTTTCTCTTTTCGATGTTCGACAGCGTGGCGAAGAAACGAACTTGAATTGTTCAATTTACAAGTGTCGCCGAAAGTTAAAATGAAAGTGTCACCAAATGGGCGTTGATGGATTAAATTATTCAATTCCAAGTGGAACGATCAAAATTCTTTTCTGCCATATGGTTCAACGAGGCTCTTAACACAATTTTAGTATATCTTTTATCGGTTACTTTTCTTTAAATTTACCCTAAGCACACTGTATTTAGTGAAAGTAAAGACTTGATTTACGAAATTTAATTTGAGGAAGATTTTACGAAGTATATCTTGGACAAATGAAACGTCAATTACCTGTGAAGCCTGTTTACGCTGAGATCGAGGGTCTGTCCTTGCGGGCTGGGAACCTGAGGACTCGCAGTCAAGTGGGGACTTGCTGCTGCCTGAGGACTGCCACCTACCGTTTGACCTCCTCCGTACTGAGGGCTAAGACTATTAGAACCGTACGGTGGCGCCTGTAATTACAATTAACGTGATATTTTTTTAATAATTTCTTCAACTTTATTTTTTTGGATTTTGGAAACTTTAGAAATATGTGCTTACCTGAGGGCTCGTCGACGTGACGCTGGAGGTTGACAAATCCATCACCGAGCCACCTGGAGAAGTTGGAGGACCACCGGGCTTCTGCATTTGTTGGACTTGCGCCACCGTGACACATTTTACTGCAACAACGAGAAAACGATGGAACGATTAGAAGAAATTCTGTGAATGTTACGAGTTGTTTTGAAACCCTAATAGAAAGACTTCGTAAACTATATAACTCTGATACTTAAAACGTTGTGGTTTGTGACAATTTAATATAACCAAACAACCTGTATTTCTAATACCACGTTTATAAAATATTTAATTTCCAATTTTTCCGTAGATTAAACCACCTTCTCAGTGGAGCACACTAAGACAATATCTATAGTTTTGCAGAAACAGAATTCAAAATTTTTCCTTTAATATATTCTACGTGACACAGATTTAGAATACTACAAAAATCCTTTATTTCCTTCGTTATGACTTAATATGCATTACGAATACGTAAAGAAGTCATTTTTACGTTTTTCTCACCACAAATAGTGTTTCAACACTATTCCCACGACAATTAAAAATGAGGCTAGGAAAAGATCCTCACCATCCTCAGTCTTCATCATTCCAGCAGCCGTAGCAGCGGCCATCGCCATCTGATGTTGCTGCGCAGCAGCCGCGGCCTCCTGATGATAAACACGTTCCTGTTCCTCCGGAGTCATTCCAGTCTGTCCCAGATAGTACATATTCGTCCTCGAGTGCAGTTGCTGCTGCTGCTGCTGCTGTTGCTGCTGTTGCTGCTGTTGCTGCTGCGACTGAATCGGCGCACAGCTCTGAGTGTCGTATCTCTCGTAAGCGGACGTGGTGCCGGGGTCGTAAGGTCGATGATTAGCCGCGCTGGCAACCGCGTTCTCGTAACCTCTCGCGTTCGCGATCTCGTTCGAATAGGTGACAACAGGTCGCGCGATATTGCTCGCGCCAGGATGCATGTAGGCCCTCGCGTGTTCCGCCGATCTGTGATGATAAAGTTCCTCGCTGGTGGTGGCCGCAGCAGCCGCTGCCGCCGCTGCGGCCATCATGGCCGATGGTTCGTAGGGAGATCTCTGAGACATCTGATGACTCATCCTCGTGTCCTCCACCATCGGCATCGGGTAAGCTACGGTGGGTTGCATCGGCAGAACGTGATGCGTGGGATGTTGACTGGGATGATGTATCGTCGCGCCGATGGATCCCCTGGATCCCATGGCGTCCATCGAGGACATCGACGAGGAATTCGAGTCTTGATTCATGTACGAGTCGTAGGTAGGTCGTACGGTTGGTGGTGGTGGCGGTGGTGGTGAATTGACTCGACAGGAAGTGGTCTCTTCTGTCTTCGGTACCAACAAATCGGACGTGTTCTGCCCTCTGGTAGGTAATGTGTTGCAACAACTGCCGCTCGGTGTCATGTTCTCGGTTTTAGGGACGACTTTGGTCGTACGGGACGAGGGACTTTCCTCGGGAGTTTTCGGTGGTTTCACGTTGATCCCTGTGCTCTTCGTTGTCGTGTAATAGTCGTAGGTCAGGCTGCTCAACACAGGTTTCGTGTCCTGCGCCGTGGACCCGTACTGAGAGTAACTCTTGCTATCCATCGACGGCGGCAACAGGTTCGTACTGATGTATTCTGGCGGGATACCGGACACTGTTGTGAAAATATAACGTGTGTCGTGTAGTTTATGTTGGCGGAATATGACGGTGGAATTAGGTTTGTAGTTTCGATTGGTATAGGCCTCCTTTTCAGTTAAAGAGCATGCTGGTATCTACGAATGTTCGGAGCAAACGACATGCTTAGGTGAGCGGGGGATATGAGATATGCGTAGACTTTGAATGTATCACCACGTATTGCACTTCGTTGCGAAGGTAAGTAATTTGTGAAGCAAGAATTTTCACGTTTTATTTCGTTGCGTTTAAATGATCGTATTGCGAAATTGCGAGCTCCTGCTTCAATGCTTCTGTGACAAATTTCAGACAGATTTGAGACAATTTGACGTTCAATTCTTTAGTATCATTCCACTTTCCTTCGTATCTTGAAAATTTGTTTAATAAAGAACAACCAATTCCTGAAGGATGCAGAGAAAAAGCGAACAGAGTTTAAAGAATGCGAAATTTAAATAGGTAATTAAAATATCGCAAATAAATAACTGAAAGACAGGTTATCGAAGAGGTTAAACGAAATTAAAATATTTCAAAAATATTGTCACCGAGAAATTGAGAAACCAAAGTTTCTCACATTTAATGTTTCAAAGTTCATCCCCTCTCTCCTACAAAGTTTCAATTTCTGCACTCTGTCAGTTTCTCCCCTACACCATTCAAATTTCATCTTATCATCGCTGCTACCTTAATTTCTCGTTTAATTAATTTCTCGCTATATTATTCCGATGCAACAGAAAATTGCCACCAATCACTGCCAAACACGTATCTATCTCTTATTCCGCAAAAAGCATCGCTTACGTTTACCCCGAGAAGTTGATGAAAAAAAGGGAAGCAATGAAGTCGGTTCAGCGTGAACGCGAGAACTATCGAGGAGCAATCCGAGGATTACTTTCGCGGCGTTCGGAAGGCTTAAGCGCCGATCCGATTTCACGGGGGCGGCTCGACGCGTTGGATTTTCGCGGCGGGCGAAATTCCAGGCACGTTGGGGAGGGTTGCTGTGCCGCCTTACCTTGAGCCTTGTGTCGTGCCTCGCGTGCGGCCTGCTTATTGGCCGCGGCAATGGGACATCCGGACAAGCTTCTGTGCGTGTTTCGATTCGAGCTGACATGGCCACGGCCGTTGCAACCAGGCGTTGGGCATTTCAAAATAGTCTCATGCATCGCCAGAACTGTGAGAACCCAGAGACACGTGGCGTGGTTACAGAACGCTGCTATTTATTCTCCTTTCTCTTCGATCGTTTCTTATCTTTCTTTCGTTCCTTTTTTTTTTTTTTTAAATACATATCACACATAACAATCGTAAGACCACACATACGTATACACGCACACCGAGATACGATCGGTAGAACGGTGTTATTTTTTCTCCTTTTTTTTTTCATTGAGATCACAGCTTTTGTTATATGCGTTGAGTATAATTATGATTATTTTGTCGATAACACGGTTCGTTTCTTTCTAACACGTTCCGCGTTGTGTTCGATGCTCGACCGATGAACACCGGAACGAAAGAATGTTGTGTACAGTAGTATACAGAGAGAATTAGAGGAAGAGAAGAAGAGAGAAAAGTAGAGGAGAGAAGAGAGAAATAAGAACAATAGACGGGGTACACAACGTTACGGGATGAAATAAACAAATAAAATGTGTAATAGTACAATCAAGTATACCGAGCGGGTAGAGAGAAACTCAAGTAAAGACATAATCAATCGAGTGACAAAATTATAAGACAACAAACTTGCGATTCTTGTGTATTGTTAGGGGGATTCTGGCGTGCGTTCTTGTGTCAGGGACGATTACTTCTCTAATCTTCGATGTAATAAATAATGTGCAAGTTTTTCTTCAAAAAAATCATTTTCTATTTTCAATTCTAAAGAAAGTCTGATACATTCGAACTTCGATATTTCACTATCAACGCGATAAATTTTAACGTTACTAAAAATTCAATATTAATACTATCAACGTGACAAGAATGTCGAGGCATACAACAATCATAACTCTGAAGACTCCGTATGATCAATCAACGGTTTCACCATCGTTTCGATCATTTTAACATGGGGATGAAGCATCTGGCGTGTCCTACAGGGTTGATCGACGCGTGACAAGCGTCGACTTTTATTCTTTTTAGGTAAAGGGAACCGTGTGTGGTCACATGAGTGTGTGATCGCCGTTTAATTATACCCAATCGCACAAAATCCTCCGTTCGGAGCCGGCGTGCACGCACACGCGTTAACGGCTGGCGTCGCACCGCCCGTGTCTCGAGTTCTCCAGATGTTCGTAGGTACGGCCAACGTAACCAAGTTCAAGTGTGGTGATAATTCTCTACTATAATTAAAAACTACAAACAGAACGATAAAATTAAAACGGAAGTGAAACGCAATAAATAAAGCTCTCTACCCCGCAAAACGAAAAGCACAAAGAATATAACAGACAGACACATAGACACACATAATAGACGGGCACAGTTCACAATGAGCCCGTATTTTTTGTCGATTCGTTCGAAGTGGAAGCAAATTCGTTTTTACCGAGTGGAAAAATTAAGCTCGTTTCTGTGATTTTTTTTTTTTTTCGTTTCTCTTTCGATTATCATTGAACAATTGGCATCGCGTGTTTGGTACTGCGAGAATTCGTGTGAAATTTGGATATTTTTCGTGAATTTCTTTCCCTTCGGTGTAATTTGAAATGGAGAATATCGTTGATAGGATGGAACCGTGAATTTTCGATGGAAATGTAGATTAAACGGAACGCGTGCTACCCCCGGATGGAACATAAGTACAGCCGTTCACGCTCGTTCACTCGCTACTTCCTTGCCCCGTCGCGTGAAAAAGGCAGTCTCGCAAAAAGAAGATGCATCTATGTAACTACGATAAGAAGTAAGAATGGTGGTGCCGATCGCTGGCTACTTACTCTCTGGCGTTAGTTTATCCTTTCGTGGACAACCGGATAGGCTGAAATCACGATAGGAAAATGTGAAACATAATTGCAGTTGTTAAGGAATTAAGAGAATCTAGCATATGTATATTTCGATACTGAACATCTTGAATGAGCTTATGATTAACTTAGTATGTCGAGGACCATTTATTCTTTCTTAAATTTTAGGCGTTTGAACGAGTGAGGACGCTCATTTTCACCTTTGACCCTTTAAATTTTGAATTACTTCAAATTTTATTTGAAAAATTTTAGTTTAAAATTTTTTAAACGTTTTTAAGTGACACAAAAATCTCGTCTAGCTTTTGAGACACCGACTCGCAAATGTGAGTGTCGAGGAAAACTTTCTCAGGGGTCAAAGGGTTAGATCTGATTAGAATACAAAGCTGTAATTGAAGAAATTCTTAATCGAATAATTTAAGAAACAAAATGCATTTTATACGTAGATTCGAGATTTCACTGTTTAACACAAAATTTGAGATATTTTGTAACGTGATCCTGCTGGTATTTATTGTAAATGCTAGTGTATTTTCTGTTGTATAATTCAGCGATGATCGTATACGTGGAATAAGTCTGCTAGTGACAGCACCATTTCGCTCAGCTTTCCCGTCGTAGCGCATAAGTGTCTAATCGACCAGGGCAAAGTGCAGAGCACAGGTTAATTACCGATAATTGCTTACCTGCGGTGGTGAGAGTAGAGTCCGGTCACGTGACCCTGCCCCGTGCAGCCTGGGGTCGGGCACTTGTTGCCCTCTGTAACAAATCAAACCATGGCGAATGGTCAGATTTCGTACAGCCTGTCACCCCTGCATAGCGAGTACAGATTGTCGATAAATTTTGTGAAGTTTAGTCTTGAGAATTGGGGGAAGAATATAACGTGTCGATTAATTTTGCGAAAATTGGGAAGAGTATGATCGTTGACAAGTTTTGTGAAAATTGGGAAGAATATGTCGTCGATTAATTTTGCGAAAATTGGGAAGAATATGATCGTTGACAAGTTTTGTGAAAATTGGGAAGAATATGGTCGTCGATTAATTCTGCGAAAATTGGGAAGAATATTGTCGTTGACAAGTTTTATGAAAATCAGGGAGAATATGGTCGTCAAGAAATTTTGGAAAAATTAGGAAGTATATGAATATAGTCGTCGATCAATTTTGTGAAAATTAGGAAGAATATGAATATGGTGGTCAATAAATTTTGTAAAAATTAGGAAGAATATGAATATGATTGTCAATAAATTTTGTGAAAATTAGGAAGAATATGGTCATCGATAAATTTTGTGAAAATTAGGAAGAATATGAATATGGTCGTCAATAAATTTTGTGAAAATTAGAAAGAATGTGATCGTCAATAAATGCAAAGATTATCCTTAAAAATTGGGAAATATATGAAAGGGTAAAAAGCATTACAGTTGAACTGCTCAATGAATCAAAGTTAGTTTTATCGTCAATAGGTGAAATATATGAAAACGAAAATTGTAACTATTTACTAATTTAGCTTGAAAAGAAATCCTCACATAGGCAGGCATAGGCATAATTTTTCTTTAGCACAAAGGATCATTCTCGAATTTATCTGAATATTCCAACACAGAATTAAGGACGATTACCTACTACCCTATTTCCTAATAAAAACCATCATCGCCTAAAATTCGATTCACACCGTATTTCACGGTTTAACGATATTAACCCCTTAACCTACAACAACGAGTCAGACTCGTGACAGAAATTCTAGTCGAGATACGAGAAAAATAGTTATATTAATAAGAAAAATTCGTTATAATCCTAACTTTCGTTTGAATTTCTAACACCGAGAATTCTAAATGTAATTAATCTATAACAGATAAACTTTTGTTACCTGACACCGTACCAGAACCCTACATTACCGACGCTTAGATGCATAGTCAGAAAAGAAATCATAGGTTAAGGGGTTAACGCAACAACAGATCCCATTCTAAGCGTTCCAACGTATATTTCACAGTGGAAGATCTTCGAACATAGTCAGCCACGCTGGAAACGTGCAAAACATCGATTCCATCGATAGCAAACGGTCCCAGTTCACGGTCTAAAAAGTTGCACCGATTGTTTCCGCGTAATTGTCGCCGGCTGACGCGAGCTGTCAACGATAAAGCGTGTCAGTTCCGATTCACTCGCGGCCACTTCAAATCGATCGTATTGTCCTCTTTAATTAATATCGATTACCAGCCGTGTGTAATTGTAATATCGAGCAAACGTGAAAGTCGCGTCCTTACGCCGCCACGGTCCATCCTTTCTCACGCTGAATTTAATGACCGACAAGCACGTTTGATTGCGGATAAATTGCATATCCGCAGAGCCGGCCGTACGGAATATCGGCTGAAGCGATGGTGAAATCGTGACAGAGCGATCCGATACCGGTGGGGAGGGAGGAAAAATATTGTTACCACTGTTGGTTTTTGTAACGCGAACGGCGAAATCGCATTCGGACCTTCAATTTCGCTTCGGTAATCGAACGAACCTCGGGAATCAATATTTTAAGCGGGAACACCACTGTGTTGACAAGGTGCACAGTCTTTTTCTGTTGGGAAAAATGAAACGCGCTTCCCCTTTTCGCGTACCGGTGTCGCGATAATTCTGTTTTATTATGGCGATGCTGTGAATACTTATATTGCTCGCCGGGTGACAAGATGGGTATTTTGTTTTTATTTTGTTGTTAGTTAAGTGTACGTCGACGAGCTTTTCTAATTCTTAAAATTACGTCAATAGTGGTGACGGTAATACAACAAAATTATTAGGACGTTTAGTATGATGTGTAGGTTGCTTAAGGATGCTGTTTAATTTGGCACAGTGTTATCGGTAATTAACTCAATATTCATTTTTTTTTGTAGTCACGAGATTTATAATAAATTTAGAGAGAAAAGAATTCATTTTTTCGACGCCCTGAATTTTATGAAAATTATCATCGAATGGATGGCAACTGAGCCACTCAGCAGCCAATGTTACTAACACTATTAAATTGGATTTATTAAATTTTTTTTATTTATGAAGAGTTAAGCACTAAAATTGGAAGAATTTCTAAAAGTGGAGTTAATCATTTTGTTTTTTTTTTTGTGGCTCGACTATTATGTCAAACATAGTGGTGTACCTTCAGTTGGTACATCACCATCGAATGCTCTGTATTTTCACTTTACCGATATTCACCTATTTATATATTCCTTACTCAGATTATTGAATCTGCAGGTAAATAAACCGACAGTTTATAACTAGACCCAACCTATTTTTGGATCGTCTATGTAATTATTGTATCTTCTAATAATAATCAATTAATAAATAGCAACATTATAGAAACGATGTTAAAAAATAAAACTTTCATTTCTCTTGATACTTCGTTATTCTGGTGAATTTTGTATGAGTCATTTTTTAACCCTTCAACGCTCATGTTAAAGTGTCTTACACGTGCACAACTAATCCTCCAAAAAGTGCAATTTTGTTTCATTATTTTCTTTCATATTCCATATTGTGCTATTTTTTCTATTCTATGGAAAAAATTGTAAGTTACAGCGTTATAAATAAATGGGAAACTTATTTCTACACGTCTTGGATATAATTAAAAAAAAAAATAAAATTGATATTGCGCTATCCTTTCTATTCTGTGGTAAGGATTGTAAGTTACAGCATTATAAATAAATGGGAAACTTATTGTTACATTCTAGCCCAGGAAATAGTTAAAAAAAAAAAAGAATGAAATTGATCGTTTTTATCGTATCAAGTTGAAAAGAATGTGAGCGTTAAGGGGTTAATAGGACAGCTAATTACAGCAACAGCGGTGTAAAATTCGAATGGAAAATCCTAAATGGAAACGGACATTCTGTGGCCAACTGTGATACCTGGGATCATGTCGCGCAAGTTACGCATTTGCGAATATCCACCGGGATTTCTCTGACCCGTGCCTAAGCCTGGGGGATTAACACTACGTATACGCCCGACCTAAATTTGCCCATGAAACGAGAATTCACAAGGTCCACATTGTAGCTGTTTGTCGGTGAATGAAAGTGTCAATCTTTCATACAACTTTGTGTAATATGAAGTGTCGAATTTTCTTCTTTCATGCAAATTTGTGTAATATGAAGTGTCGAGTTCTCTTCTCTCGTGCAAATTTGTCTAATATCAAATCGTGTGATATGAAGTGTCAAATTTTTCTTACGTTTCGTAAGTTCAAACTGAAAATACGCACCGTTTAATTGCACAGACATTTACTATGAATGAATTGTTTCAAAAATTAATCTCCTTTCAAAATAATAATAAAATAATTAATTTTAAATTTAATTATAATATTAAACTTTTCATTATAATATTCAGGAACATCGATGCATAATATTGCATATTAGAGACTCAAAGGAACCCTCTTACGAAATTTATTCATCATAAATTTTTGTCTGTGCGATTCCAATAAAAGAAATTTCTCTCCCTCGAAGAATTTTGCAACACTCAACTAATCACTGAGAGGATTAATTTGCGAATTATTACACAAACTAAAAATTTGACTTACTATTAAACTTTTCATTATAATATACAGAGACATCAATGCGCAATATACTAGAAACTCAGAGAAACCCTCTTACGAAATTTATTCATCACAAACTTTTGCCAACGCGATTCCAACAAAAATTTCCTTTCCCTCGAAGAATATTTCAACCCTCAACTAATCACCGAAACGATCAATTTAAGAACTTTCGAGTTTTGTGGATGTTTGCACGATGTTGTGCCGTCTAGATACTGATTCGAAGGACCACCCAAATGATTGGAACTTGTAAAAACTGATCTATTTCTAACGCGTGATGTGAGCTGGTTCCTCCTTGGTACTCCTTGTTCGTGGTGGTTGAACGACTACTCGACGACTCACTCCCCGACGTCGCGTCTCGGACATCCGTAAGAGGGATTTTCGTTGGGACACGCTGATTGGTTAATGGTTAACGATTGCATTTGCCAATCAGCGTGTCTAATATCGTCTTTACCGTCCTTCCAGTGCGCCCATAGAGCGCTGTCACCTTGGAAGGGTGAGAGACGGTCGCGAGGGGTGGTCCCAAAAATCTGGAATTTCCTCCGGGTGACTCGTCGGCAAGCGGACCGTTACATACAGATGTGCCGTTCGGAAATTCGTGGTTTATGGTATGTTCGTAGGCTATTGAGCGCGAGGGACAGAAATTACTAAAAATCTAGCAAAGCAATTCTAGTGACCCTCGCAGGATGTAATTAGACCCGTGCAAGCAATAAACGAAAATCCTCAACTGAAAAATAACCGTTCCCGGTCGATCGTGCCATAAACCGTTTGTACAGAAAACCTAACAAAAAACCTAATTTACTTTTCATTATTGCATTCAGAGACATCAATGCATAAATATACCTACCGGAGACTCGAAGAAAATCTTTCTTAATACTTGTTCATTGTCGAACGACCTGTACAGAAAACCTAACAAAAAACCTAATTTACCATCAGACTTTTCATTATTGCATTCAGAGACATCAATGCGTAAATATACCTACCGGAGACTCGAAGAAAATCTTTCTTAATACTTGTTCATTGTCGAACGACCTGCACTGTCAACACACACACACAGAGTGCGTCACTTGCAAAACTAACGTTAGGAAAAGTTTCAGAAAATTTTTTCTTCTCTCACTTTTTCCCCTCCCCGTTGATTCTTGTTCTTGGCTCTGTCACGAAATTGCATCGAGGGCATGTTCAAGTAACCTGTACCATCTGTCGTGTACTGGCTGTAA